TGGTTCTTATTTTTAAGTCTATTGATGTGGTGAATAACATTTATTGATTTCCGTATATTGAACCAGCCTTGCATCCCAGGGATGAATCCTACTTGATCATGGTGTACAATTTTTTTTATATGTTTTTGTATCCGATTCGCCAGAATTTTATTGAGGATTTTTGCATCTAGGTTCATTAGAGATATTGGTCTGTAGTTTTCTTTCTTTGAAGTGTCTTTGTCTGGTTTAGGTATCAGGGTGATGTTGGCCTCATAGAATGAATTTGGAAGTTCTCCCTCCTTTTCTATTTCCTGAAGTAGCTTGAAAAGTATTGGTATTAGTTCTTCTTTAAAGGTTTTGTAAAATTCTGCTGTATACCCATCGGGACCTGGGCTTTTCTTAGTTGGTAGTCTTTTGATGGTTTCTTCTATCTCCTCAATTGATATTGGTCTGTTTAGGTTTTCTATATCCTCCTGACTCAATCTGGGCAGATCATATGACTTAAGAAATTTATCTATGCCTTCACCATCTTCTAATTTATTGGAGTATAAGGATTCAAAATAGTTTTTGATTATCTTCTGTATTTCTGAAGTGTCTGTTGTGATATTGCCTTTTTCATCCCGTATGCTAGTAATTTGAGTTCTCTCTCTTCTTCTCTTCACTAGCATCGCTAAGGGTCTGTCGATTTTGTTTATTTTTTCAAAGAACCAACTTTTAGTTTTGTCAATTTTTTCAATTGTTTCTTTTGTTTCGATTTCATTAATTTCAGCTCTGATTTTAATTATTTCTTGCCTTCTACTTCTTTTGCTGTTGTTTTGCTCTTCTTTTTCAAGGATTTTGAGATGAAGTATGAGATCATTTATTTGTTGGTTTTTTCTTTTTTTAAGGAATGAACTCCAAGCAATGAATTTTCCTCTTAGAACTGCTTTTAATGTGTCCCATAGATTCCGATATGTTGTGTCTGTGTTTTCATTTATCTCTAAGAATTTTTTAATTTCCTCCTTGATGTCTTCTATAACCCATTGATCATTCAGTAACCTATTGTTCATTCTCCAATTGATGTATGCTTTTTCCTTCCTTCTTTTATCGTTGATTTTCAGTTTCATTCCATTATGATCAGATAAGATGCATGGTAATATCTCTACTCCTTTATATTGTCTAAGAGTTGCCCTGTGACATAATATATGATCTATTTTTGAGAAGGATCCATGTGCTGCTGAGAAAAAAGTGTAACTGCTTGATGTTGGGTGGTATACTCTATATATGTCAATTAGGTCTAGGTTATTAATAGTGTTATTGAGTTCTATAGTTTCCTTATTCAACTTTTGTTTGGAAGATCTGTCCAGTGGCGAGAGAGGTGTGTTGAAGTCTCCCATGATTATGGTGTGGTGGTCTATTAGACTCTTGAACTTGAGAAGAGTTTGTTTGACGAACATAGCTGCACCATTGTTTGGGGCATAAATATTTATGATTGTTATGTCTTGTTGGTGTATGGTTCCCTTAAGCAGTATGTAGTGTCCCTCTTTATCTCTTTTGATTAACTTTGGCTTGAAATCTATTTTATTTGATATGAGTATGGACACGCCTGCTTGTTTCCGAAGTCCATATGAGTGATATGATTTTTCCCAACCTTTCACCTTCAGCCTATGTATGTCTTTTCCTATCAAATGCGTCTCCTGTAGGCAGCATATTGTTGGGTCTTGTTTTGTGATCCATTCTACTAGCCTGTGTCTCTTAATTGGTGAGTTTAAGCCATTAACATTTAGGGTTATTATTGAGATATGGGTTGTTCTTCCAGCCATATTTGTTTATTTCTGTTACTAAACATTGTTTGTTTTCCTCTTTGATTGTTTCCCCCCCCCCCTTTACTGTCCTACCTCCCACTGTTGGTTTTCATTGTTATTTTCCATTTCCTCTTCCTGTAATACTTTGGCTAGGATGTTTTGAAGAGATGGTTTTCTAGCTGCGAATTCTTTAAACTTTTGTTTATCGTGGAAGGTTTTAATTTCATTCTCCATCCTGAAGCTTAATTTCGCTGGATACACAATTCTTGGTTGGAACCCATTATCTTTCAGTGTTTGAAATATGTTATTCCAGGATCTTCTAGCTTTCAGAGTCTGTGTTGAAAGATCAGCTGTTATCCTGATTGGCTTGCCCCTAAATGTAATCTGCTTCCTTTCTCTTGTAGCTTTTAAAATTCTCTCCTTATTCTGTATGTTGGGCATCTTCATTATAATGTGTCTAGGTGTGGATCTCTTATGATTTTGCACATTCGGCGTCCTGTAGGCTTCTAGGATTTGGGATTCTGTCTCATTCTTCAAGTCTGGGAAGTTTTCTTGTATTATTTCATGGAATAGACTGCTCATTCCTTTGGTTTGGAGCTCTGTACCTTCCTGTATCCCAATGACTCTTAAGTTTGGTCTCTTAATGTTATCCCATATTTCTTGGATGTTCTGCTCATGGTTTCTTAACAGTCTTGCTGAGCTGTCTATGTTCTTTTCCAGTTGAAATACTTTGTCTTCATTGTCTGATGTTCTATCTTCTAAGTGTTCTACTCTGTTGGTAGTATTCTCCATTGAGTTTTTAAGTTGGTTTATTGCTTCCTGCATTTCTAGGATTTCTGATTGCTTGTTTTTTATAACCTCTATCTCCCTGTATAGTTGATCCTTTGCTTCCTGGATTTGTTTGCGTAATTCGTTGTCGAAGTGATCTTTCATTGTCTGATTTTGCTGTTTAATGTCTTCCTTGATACTCCAGATCATCTGAAGCATGTATATCCTGAATTCTTTATCTGACATTCCATCTGCTGCAGCTGTTACCTCTTCTAAAGTTGCGTTGACCTGCATTGCTTGTGGTCCTTTCTTTCCTTGTCTTTTCATACTGCTTGCGTATCTTTCCTGCAGGTGCGGGCGGCGGCTCTGCTCTCTCCTTATTCCAATTGGGGTGTCGTGGCTACCACGCCGGTAGGTCACTGGGCCTGTTCTGGGAGCTGGTGGCGGCTCTGTTCTGCCCCTACTCCAATTGGGGTGACGTGTCTGTCGTACCAGCAGGCCACTGGGCCTGTCCTGCTGGTCGGTCGCAGATCTGCCCACCTTTCGGGCACGAGTGGAGGCTCTGCTTTGCCCCTACTCCAACTGGGGTGTCGTGACTACCCCGCCTGCAGGATGCTGGGTCTGTTCCTGGCAAGGGAGGCGACTCTGCTCTGTCACTACTCCAATTAGGGTGGTATTTGTACCCCGCCGGCAGGCTCCTGGGCCTGATCCGCAGGTCTGTTGTAGGTCTGCCTACCTTGAAGGCGCGGGCGGCGGATCTGCCCTGCCCCTCCTACCACGCCTGCGGACCCCTGGGCCTGATCTGCAGGTTGATCACTGGTCTGCTCACCCTGCGGGCACGGGTGGCGGTTCCGCTCCACCCCCACTCCAATTGGGGTCACGTGACCACCACACCGGCAGGGCCTGATCCGGGCGTGGGATAAGGATCTGCTCTGCCCCTACTCGAGTTGGGGTGACGTGTGTACCACACTGGCAGGCCACTGGGCCTGACCCGCCAGGCTGTCACAGGTCTGTTTACCTTGCAAGCGCGAAGGGCGGCTCTGCCCTGCCCCTCCTACCACGCCCATGTACTACTGGGTCGTGGGTCTGCCCACCTGGCGGGTGTGGGTGGCGGCTCCGCTCCGCCCCCTCTCCAATTGGGGTCACGCGGTCACCACGCTGGCGAGCCGCTGGGCCTGCTCCGGGGGCTGGCGGCGGCCCGGCTCCTTCCCTCTGGCTCGAGGACAAATTGAGGAGACTCGGGTGACTGAGCCTCACCCCCCTTACCAGGAGACCAACTGCTTATGTCACCGCTGGTATTGATGAAGATCTCTCCTCCACCGCTTTCTGCTGACATCAGATCTCTGCCATGTTGGTATCCTATGCGAATGGCAGCATTTCGTTCCCCTTGCCAGGCAACCCAAGCAATGGGTGAGTCCTGACCTGCCCTCAGCAGGACCCGGACCGAGACACAGTTTCCGCGGGCTCCCAGCCCCGGTCCAGGGAAGTTCCGGGAGCCGGAACTCGGCCGCTCCGTGCTCGGTGTAAGCTCCTATAAGTGTAGGCTCCAAGAAGCAGCCCCCGCGGGCTCAGTTCCGGGAGCCGGAATTCGGCCGCCTAGTGTTTGGTGTATGCTCTGATAGTAGCAGGGTCCAAGAAGCAGCCTCCGCGGGCTCCGCAGCCCTGAGCCAGGGCGGTTCCGGGACGGTTCCGGGAGCCGGAACTCGGCCGCTCTGTGCTCGGTGTAAGCTCCTACAAGTGTAAGCTCCAAGAAGCAGTCCCCGCGGGCTCAGTTCCGGGAGCCGGAACTCGGCCTCTTGGTGTTTCGTGTTTGCTCTGATATTAGCAGGGTCCAAGAAGCAGCCTCCGCAGGCTCCGCAGCCCGGAGCCAGGGCGGTTCCGGGACGGTTCCGGGAGCCGGAACTCGGCTGCTCTGTGCTCGGTGTAAGCTCCTACAAGTGTAAGCTCCAAGAAGCAGTCCCCGCGGGCTCAGTTCCGGGAGCCAGAACTCGGCCTCTTGGTGTTTCGTGTTTGCTCTGATATTAGCAGGGTCCAAGAAGCAGCCTCCGCAGGCTCCGCAGCCCGGAGCCAGGGCGGTTCCGGGACGGCTCCGGGAGCCGGGACTCGGCCGCCCCGCGCTCCGTGTTCACTCCGATAAGATCAGATTTTAAGAAGCCCCCAGGCGCTGAACCCTAGCAATCTGTCTGCAAGCCGCAGGCGAATTGCAGCCTGAAATTACCTGTTCTATGGCTGAATGAGCTGCGGTCAGTCAAAAACAGGTGTGGTGACGTCAGTTTACCAACATGGTGGCTGCTGGCCTCCTCTGTGGTCTGACCGGTGTGGAGAACCGAGATGGACCGCTTCCTTCCCCGTCTCGAACCCAGAATTCAGCCCTGAGTGCGGTGCTTGCGCGTCTGGCAGAAACTGCAGCGCTGTAACCCTGCGTCTCTATCCCAGCGCGCCTTGCAGACTCCAGCCCCCATATACTTTTTAAAAGAATGAAAACCATCTGTTATGTTAAATCGGAAAAACAGTATCCTATAATTTTATTTTGAAATGATTTTTATTCTTTTCAGCAGCAAGCAAATTTAGAAAGTGATTAATCTCAATCCAAGTTACCATGAAGGCAAATTTACTATTCTGAATTCACACAGTACACTAAAAATAGAAACAAATATTAATTATTATATTCAACATTAAACTTTTTTTCAAGGAATATAAATCTTACCAAATGAAATACATATTATTTCCTTGGTCTGAGCCTGAATTTGTGTCATTTCTCTTCAGAGAAAGAGCTGAGATCTTTTGAAAATGTAGTAAAGACTTATAGAACATTTTCCTGTGGTCCTAAGTTGATGGTTAATTTCTTAAAATCTTTATTGCTCTCAATCTAGAGTTTGAATTATTTCTCCCCAAAAGATATTTTTATGGCAAATTCATATAAGTCACGGAATTGGTTTTTCTGAAACTGTTCTTGCTTAGTTACTATGCAACCTGTTATAAAATTTGAATATTGCAAGTGAAAACATATTTTCAATATTTTGACATAAGAGCAGTAATATACAAAATTCAAACATTAATTAAGCAAGCACTACCTTTGAACTTAATATATTTACTAATCTATGCCAGTGCAAAGCAGTACAATATGATCATAAGATCAAGTAGATTTTAAAAGTTCCAAGTCAAAACATTGAAGAAATTTTCCAATGATTCTTTATGAAGGTTTTTATTGCAAAGAAATAATTTAAACTTTTAGATAAGCTGAAAGTGTAATACTCAATGTTACTCCTTCATGTTTGTAGCTCAGCCTAATTGTCTTGCCCTAAGGCGGTTACCCATCTTTTCTGTGGTTTCAGAGAGATGAAAAATGGAGCTGAATTCCATTTCCTTTCTCTTCATTCTACTTGTCTTATTTGCTTGGGACTCTTATTTGCTTGGGACTCCTTTTGAAGCTATGAAGGAATTGAGAATTTGGCCTTTTATTTCTGTAAGGATAGTTAATCCCTCTTAAATAAATTCCTCTGATCAGCCGGCTTCTAATTAGAATTAGACCTTTCTTCCTGCTGCAGAACTTTTCCATGGGACTTTGAAAATCTTGTGAATATTATACACTAAGAATAAACACACTATGTTGATGTAATTGGCATTACAAAATAGCTTTCCCAATTAACATTATTTTCCTCAATTCTGAAAAGTAGCCCTTCCCTTTAATGAGATATTTTAAAATACATTGCAGAAAATTTCAACATCATTTTCTTCTATGCCTCCCCTATATAAATGAAACCTCATCTATAAAAAGGGACAGCTTTATCATCCCAGTAGGAAATAGCAATAGTGTGACATTTGATTGACATGTTTATTAGATGTGACCAAAATTATATTGTAGAAGTTTATATGATAAAATACATTATACATGGGGAACAGTTGTGTGGTTATGTAACAAGAGTTTATAGTGATTTTCTTTTACTCATGTTGTTGATACCTGATGAAAGATACTCCATCTTCATTCTAATCCTGCATCTGCTGATGTCTTAACTAGCTATATGTCATCTATATATGGTCATATTTTATACCCAATTTTTTCAACATGTTTATTAAGCAGGCATAGAGTATTTCAGTTAATGGTATTTTTTCCCTCTGTGAGTATAATATCCATTTGTCTGTCTTTATATATATCACCCCATTATCACTTTAAGTAATTTTATCATAAACTAATTGTTGAGATGCATAAAGAGTCTGTAAACTCCTTAAGGATGTGGCTTTTTACATTTGAACATCAGCCACTGTAACATAGTACCCAGGCAATTTAATATATTCTTATTGATCCGAATGAATTACAATTATTAATTGCCAAAGACCTTTTGTTTATACACTATCCATTGCCTCTCCTTTCTTGCCAATAGTACTCTGCTTTTGTTTGGACACAATGTTCCCAGTCTCAGACTCCAGGCCACTTATCCTGGCATCATTGGTAATAATTGTAAGAGTAGGACTGGACCCATTTCTTGTCAGTGAGATATAAGGGGAAGTCTCCTGGAGGAGTACATCTGGGAAAGAATCAAGTTCAGAGAAAAACAAAGAGGTCACTTCTGAGTTCTCTCTTCCTTCTTGATATGCTATCATGAAAGGAGGTTCTTAAAGGTGCAGTGTCCATCTTGTGATTATTGAGAGTAGACATTACTGCAATAAAAGCTGTAAAATATTAGGGTCCTTATCTTCATTGTACAACAAACCTAAAGACTATCTGCCTCTGAGTGTCTCAACAGAAATTACTGGGTTTTTTTTTGTGTGTGTGCAACATAGTGTATTCTCTCTGAAAATGAGAATTATTATATCTCTACCAGCCTGTTTGACTCTCTACTGATACCACAGAGACACTTCATACTCATTGTATACCAGTGCCCACCCTTCCCACATGAGCCTGACACTATTACATTCACTGCAGCAAAGAGATTGAACAGCATCATAGATCTCACCATCAAAAATCCATATCAACTTCTCAACATTTTGCTTCTTGAATTGCTCTTGAATGTGATTTTGTTTTGCACTTCAGCTGCCACTACTGTTTAGATGATCATAATCGTCTTTATTTTTTTTTCCAAGTCATGTCTCACATGGGTCATTTTCTCTCTGCCTGAAATGCAGTTTCATTTTTTGAAGAGTTGATCAGTAAAGGCTTCTGAAGGTGGGAAGATCTTTGATTATTAAATCCTTGCTATCTAAATAAGATTTTCTGTTTTGTCTCAACTATTTTTTTTTTAAATTTTTTATTGTTAGCTGTTCAAAACATTACATAGTTCTTGATATATCATATTTCACAATTTGATTCAAGTGGGTTATGAGCTCCCATTTTTACCCCATATACAGATTGCAGAATCACATCAGTTACACATCCATTGATTTACATATTGCCATACTAGTGTCTGTTGTATTCTGCTGCCTTTCCTATCCTCTACTATCCCCCCTCCCCTCCCCTCCCCTCCCCTCTTCTCTCTCTGCTCCCTCTACTGACATTCTGCATGGAAATAGAAGGAGACCCTCAGAGTTATACAAAAGTACATACAAGAGGAAGTGAGGGGAAGGGGAAAAATAATATAAGGGGGACAAACAAATGTCTCAACTATTTTTATTTTTGTCTTTCTAGGTGTTTGGATGCTTTATTGGCACAAAATTGTTCATCACTGAATATTTGCTCTTACTCTTGAGTTTGATAATCTGTCTTCTTTTTTGGTAATTACCATAAAAATTTACATATTTTCCTTAATCACCAAAAAAGAAGACACACATTTTCCTTAATTTTTTCCCCAAAGGATCAACTTAACTTTTTTTTTTCTTATGTCTGTTATCTTTTGTTTCTTGTAGTGAAAAGTTTGGATTATTAGATTAAGATCTTTCCTTGGGGCTGAAGCTGTAGCTCAATGGTAGAGCACTTGCCTAGCATTGGTGAGGCACTGGGTTCGATCCTCAGCACCACATAAAAATAAGTAAATAAAGTTAAGGAAAGATTTTTTAAAAAATCTTTCCTTATGTTATTCAGTAACAAAAATACAATATATATAAACTCATCACTAGTATGTGTTAAGATTTTCAGTTTCTCATAAATTTAATAAAATTATATTCATTTATCTTTTTGAAAGCTTCAAGGAAAAACTCATTTAAAATCCATCCAGAAACATCCTTATTGTGCATAGCAAGTAACACAGAGAAACATTCTCAAATGCATAACTATTTTCTAGAAAATGATATAAACCTAAATATTTAAGAATAAAGAAGGGCCTATACCAATAAGGTTCAAAACACACCTCTTCAATGACAAATTTTTGAGCAGCTGTTTCAGCACTTGAAAAGTCCACTGTCAGGTTTGAGGTTGCATTTGAAAGACAGAAATTAGAAAAACTCTTACACGTGTAGTTATGATTTATTATAGTGGAAAAAAAAAACATGAAAACCAGTCAAGTTAAAAGGAATGGAGAATGGACAGGAATAAAAGCTTTCAAACTTCCAGGAGTCCTTTTCTAGTGGAGTGGCATAGATAGTACTGTCTCTCTCTGCAGTGACATATGGCAACATCTATAGTGTTACCAACCAGAGCAGATCACCTGATCCTTGGGGTCTAGGGTTTTTTTTGAGGGTACATTACAGATGCATGAAGATCCCCTGTGATTGACTTTACCAAGGCTTTTTCCACCCCCTAGAGGTCACACTGATGCAGTGTCCCCAGAATCCCAGGTACCCAAATGTACTTACAAGGCAGGACATTTCCAGGATCTAGAGGTTATCTTCCTGGTGCTCCTCAAGGGTCTGACTCCTTCAGAATATGCAGGGTTTGAATATTCCAAAGCTGCTGAGTTAACACTTTTCTCTCATTAGTTGTGAGGAAGTCATTTTTATTTTTAAGAAAGTAAACATACTACAAATCATCTGTGGTACATCTGAAACCAGGCACACTACATATCATTGCACAACTAAGTTCCTTGTGTTTTTAGCATTTCTTCTATGTATCATTTTATATCTTAAAATTCTTTCAAGGTCACATTACCTTGATTCTCTTCAATTTGATATATAGAATTTATCAATATTCAGTTTCAAGTAATTTTAAAATTTCTATAGTTTTTTTGACAGACATTTTAAAACACACTATTGAATTTTGAAATGCGTAGAAATTAAAAATTGTTAGGGTTATTACAATAAAGACTTCAGCAATCAAATTATTATTTCTTAGATAATGATCTATCTTTCCATAAATTCTAATTTTACTGCTTTTCTTATTGCTGTTCCAGTTTCACTACACTGTATCTTAGCATTAATTACTGCTTATTTATCTTTGTGGAACAGTGAGATCCCTGAATCTGAGAATTGCAATAACATCCCAGCTAGGACTTTATGTAAATATTTTATCACACATTCTCATTCCTTCCTTCTTGAACTAAATGTTAATATTTGGCCTTCATATTTTGTTTCAATTCTGCTTTTATTTTTAGATATTTAATGAGATGCATTAACATGACAAACTCTCCCATTTAAAGTTTAGGAGTCAGTGGACCATCTATTCATAGATATTTAAGCATTACCACGGTTCTTTTTAACCATGAATCATTTTTATCAAATTGTTTTTGATATTATTTTTAGCAGATAACATTTTAACTGTGATATGCCTGGATGTGGATCTTCTTAAATTGATCCCACTTGGAGTTCACTGGGCTCTTAATATGTACAGAATGATTTCAAAAAAAGAAACCCTCAGATTTGGGGAATTTTTAAGCCACTATTTCTTCAAAAATTTTTTTTCTTCCCTCTGGCACTCCCATATTTGTTACACTCTGCATTACCACACATTTCTCAGATCCCTGTCATTCTTTTTTCTTTTCTTTCTTGCTGTTCTTCCAGTTGTACACTTTCTTTTTAAATCACTGATTCTTTTGCAGCTCATATCTACTACTGAATCTCTCTTGTTAAATTTTCATTTAACTTTGAAACTATAAATTTTTCACTTATTTTTATGCCTGACTTTTTAGGAGTTGCCCCTGGTTAAAACACTGTACTCTTCAATGTTTGGTTGGAGGTTGTGTTTAAAAATCTCATGCCAGTGACACTTCCTTCCTGTGTTGATAGGGCAAATGTCAAAGCCACGTGTGCATCCAGTCTAACATATATGCATAGACTTTGTGACCTCAGGAGGACTCTTCTTGGCTATCTTTATTCCTGTTAGTCTCCATGAGAGACCCTTTGTCGGTGTGGGCAATATAGCCCCTGGTTTTCTCAGTTTGCCTCCCCAAGTTCAGAACATCTGTCCCATAGGGAGCTGGCATACAGCAGTTAGAAGAATTGCATTCCTATCCCACCATGCTTGAGCTAGATCTTCTATACCAGATAGTGGTCATGTGGGAGACAGGGACATTCCTTGGCTGTGGCTGTCAGGAATAGATCTTCTGTAACAATAGGATGAGGATATGTGAGAAAGGCAAGTTTACCTGTCAGTAAACTTGGACCCCTAAGCTGGGGACTTAGGGAGAGAAGAAGCCTGTCTTCTTGGCTACTCTACCTAGAGTAGAGTGGTCTTAAAGTAGATTTGAGGAATTCTTTAGTGGGGATTTTGAATGTTCCCCAAGGGTCCATGTGTTAAAGCATTGGTCCCTAGCTCCAGCACTACTGGGAGGTGGTAAAACCTTTAGGATGTGTGGCCTCCTACAATGAAGTTGAGTCACTGGGGGCATGCCCTTGAGAGGGATATGGAGACCCTGGCCCAATTCTGTCTCTTTGTGCTTCTTGGATGTTAAGTGGCTTCCTCAGCCACACACTCCTGCCATGATGTATGACCTCACCGCAGCCCCAAAAGCAACAGACCAGCTGACCATGTAATCAGGGACTAAAACTTCCAAAACTGTGAGACAAAATCTTTCCCTCTTTTAAACTACTGTTGTTTAGTGACTAACAGCCTACTAACACAGGGAGTGAAAGGAGAGTGTAGTTGTAACTCAAATACAAAAGAATTGTATTGTATTTAATTTAAAAAATTAGTTAGCAGTGATAGACACTATTATTCAAACAACCACTAATTTCACTATTTCCACAGTCTCCATTCCAGTCTTTCCCAAATTATTTCATCTCTTTTTTCAGGTGCCCATTTCCTTGTCTTTCTGCTATACAATCTACAGACTTTTTTCAGATTTATATTCCAATTTATTGATTTTCTATTAAATTAGTATTTTATACAGAAAGGTGTTATGAATATTATGGTTTGTTGATCATTTAATATTTTGCATACATTCATATTATATTGCATATCTTATATATACAGGTTGTAAATTCTTGCTGTTTTTACTATTCTTATGAATAACATCTTGCTTCTCATGTGTATTTAACTTTTTAAAATTATGAGTTCATATTTAGCTATATTTATTGTTTCAGAATTTCAAAGGACCAGATTTGGGGTTGTTTCCTATGGAGATGTATTTATTTTTGCCAATCATTAGCTGGTGCTAATCTTAGATGTTAGTTTTTTAAAGGCTTAAACATTTTAAATAAAGATACTCAATTCTTTAAAGGGAAATAAGAAGAAAGGTAGAAGTTAAACTATTTTTGTCAAAATCCTATGGAAGAAATCAAAGTTATTTATAAATCCAATTTTTTCTCTAAATATCTGTATTCTAGTCTATCAAGTTGTCAACAGTAATATAATTGCCAGAGCTAAGGAAAATGTTTTCACAATGGAGTGGCTTATTTACTAGGATGACCCATTAGTTATTTAGAAATGGGGCAAATATTGGAGTCCCTCTGTATCCACTTTAGTGCTTTCCTGTCTCTAGTATCACGATTTACTATCTTCATGCAGGTGGAAGATTTCAAGACTACAGTACTTAAAAGTTATTTTACACTCTGGGGAAGCTTACACTTGAAATAGATTGGGACTCTACTTTTGATCCTGGTTGCATAAAGAAACTATTTTAACCATGTCATTCTTAGAAAAATTTTAATGAAGTCTCATGTTAGTTGTCTCCTTATTTTCAACCTACATCTTTCTTTCCAATATTCCCCCTTATAACCTTGTTTTGAAAGTAAAGTTTCCTCATATTAGACTTAAGCACCATAAACATACAATGGAAAAAAGATAGCCTCTCAACAAATGGCACTGGGAAAACTGGAAATCCATATGTAGTAGAATGAAATTTATACAGGATGAAAAAGGATTCAAACTCAAAAGTAAATCAAGGACCTAGACATTAGGCCAGAGACCCTGAGAAGAAAAAGTAAGCCAAACCCTACATCATGTTGGCTCATGAACCAACTTTCTCAAGAAGAATCCTAAAGTTCAAGAAGTACAATCAAGAATCAATAAATGGGATTATATCAAAATAAAAAACTTCTTTACTGTGAAGGAAATAATCAAGAACATGAACAGAGAACCTACAGAATTGGAGAAAATCTTTACTACCTAAACCTCATAGAGCATTAATCTCCGGGTTATTAAAAAAAAAAAAAACCTCAAAATATTTGACAAATAACTCAATAAATACATGGGCAAAAGAACTGAACAGGTACTTCACAAAAAAAAGAAATATGGTCAAATTATATGAAAAAATGCTTACTTAACATCTCTAGCAAGTAGAGAAATGCAAATTAAAACTACACTAAGATTCCATCTTACTGTAGTCAGAATGGAAATTATAAAAAAAAATACAAGTAACAATGTTGGCAAGGATGTGGGAAGAAAGTTACTCATACATTGTTGATAGGGCTGCAAATTGGTGCAACAACTATGGAAAGTAGTATGGACATTCCTCAAAAACTTGAAATGGAACTACCATTTAACCCAGTTTTCCCATTTCTTGTCTATACCCAATGGACTGAAAATCAGTATACTACAGTGATGCAGCCATGTCAATGTTTATCGTAACTCAATTCACGAAAACCAATTTAGGTGTTCCCCAACAGATGAATGGATAGAGAAAATGTGATGAGTATTACACAGCTATAAAGAAGAATGAAATTATGGCATTTGCCGGTAAATAGCATGATAGTCTCCCACTCCATCTAAGTGAAATAAGCTAATCCTCAAAAACCAAAGGATGAATTTTCTGATATGTGGATGTGAACCCACAACAAGTGGGGGTGGGAAGAATAGAAGTCCATTGGATTACATAAAGGGGATGAAAGAAAGGGAGGGAATGGGAAGGACAGTAGAATTAATCAGACTTAACTTTCCTAGCCTTGTATTTGAATACATGACCAGAGTAACTCCACATCATGTACAACCACAAGAATTGGATCCTAGTTAGAGTGAGTTTTACCCTACGTATGTATAATGTGCCAAAAGACATTCTACTATCATGTATAAATAAAAATAATTTTTTTAAAAAATGTTATAACCTACTAAGTGGATAACATTGATCCCACACTTGTATAACTGAAAGATTAAGTGGTGAACCCACAGAATACCTATTGACATAACAAGCAGAGCATGGTGTCACCAGGTATTTCTGAAACAGTATATTGACTCAATTTGAAGGGCAGGAGCTAACCATACATTTTTACAAAGCTTAACGTGTAATATTCAAACACAGGAGTTTCTTTGTGCAAATAGGGTACACTTAACCAAAACATTGATATGCTGAGCTTAAGGACAAACTGCATATACATGACGGTGGTACCATAAGCTTATAATGGAGCTGAAAACTTCTATCATCTAATTAGAGCTTTCATAAAATAGCATAATGCACTACTCGTGGATGCTACTGCAAACAAACCTACTGAAGTGTAGGTCAAAACTATACCAGAATTGTGTGTGTGTGTATAATACTTGATGATGCTAATAAGTGACTTTGGTTTATGCATTTACTATGATAGATAAAAATTAATTAAAATTTTAAGTATATCAGATGAAAATAAATTGTACATATGAGATAGTATTTCCCAAAACACTTATTTCTT